CTAATACCAAAATAAATCCTCATTTGAGAAAAAGACCATTTTTCCCCTTTAAGTCCTCAACCCTCACAGTTGACCAAAATTCAAATGGTCAAAAGGTCAACAGTCAACCCCTCTTTTAGTTGATCCTCACTTCGTAACCAGCATACGGTCACGTCGTGAAAACGGATTCCCCTCGGACCCTAACTCAATCACGAGTCAACTCAGCTCGACTTCAACCCTAAACGATCTGAATCACTTTCATGTCATGAGAATCAATTCCTCACTTCGTGGCAGCGTCGTGCCAAAATAATCGAGGACTTCCTTCCTCACGTCGTGCCCTCCAAATGGTCATGTCGTGAGTTACGCACAATGGACATCTTAATGCATTCAACCCTAACCCTTTCACTCATGCATTTCAACTTTCTAGAAGGTTATATAACTCCAAAATCAAATTAAAAATCGGTGCTTTATGGACATGTACGTCCAATACATGTCTAGATACCATATTGGGTCAAAATGTAGAAAATATCTCTAAAGTTCTCATGAAAGGATTCAAAACTTAACCATTACTACATTTACTTTATATCACTCTAGGGAGCCTTAGAATCCATAAACTTTCCTACTTTATGGTTTCCTTTCATCAAAGCTTACTTAAACATAGAGAAAATGGGACAAAACCTAGATTTAGCAATATCCAAAAATAAAGGTTATAATGCTCTTGGTTATAATGCCTAAAGATATAGAAGAGTTCATCAAGTCAATGGAAAAAATCAAAGATGCACGCGTGTCAACTCCACCATTAGAGGAGCAAATTATGTTGACCGAGAATACAATAAACGTAATTGAATGTTACATTAACAATTTTGATGTACACTATTAGGCCAATTTGATAGAAGCTTATCATGTCCATCATTGAATTATATAACATGTTTGATGTATTTTTTTAGGGATAATGACTTAGGAGGGTAATAACGTTTCCTGTTTGTCCATTTTAGGTCCCTAACATATTTTTTGTGCGTATTACACCATTAAGGTTATTATAACCGTTTACAAATAGTCCTTTTAACAGGAAGAAACTGGTATGTAACATCCCAAAAATCATGACCAAAAATTTCGTTTTTAAAACGTTACTTAAACCACATTTGTCAATCCTTAACCTAAATCATAACATAAAATCAGAGTGTTAATTCAAAACATAGTCTTATTATCAGAGTAAAACATCCCAGGCTGACTAACTATGGTGTGTGACATGCGATCATCCCGAGCTCTTCCCTCCGTTACCGAAAGTACCTAAAACCAAAACTGAAAACTGTAAGCACGAAGCTTAGTGAGTTCCCCAACCTGCTACATACCATACACATAACTGCATACTGCAAATACTGGGCCTCGCCCGCTCCAGGCCCCGCCTGGCTTCGAGCCCTGCTAGGTGTACAAATCTGTTTCTCTTAGGCCCCGCTTGTCTCTGGGCCCCGCCCGCTAAACATATACAAACATATAACATATCGCATAACACATAAACTATAACTACTCTACTGCATTCCTGTACTAAGGCCTCGCCTGTCTTGGGCCCCGCCCCTGTCTGCTACTGATGAATCATGGAACCCCGTCCACACTCCTAATGATAATGAGATACGGGTCTCCGCCCACACTCACTCCTTTCCTATCTTGGGCCTCGCCCCTACTCTGCTACTAATGAGATATGGAACCCCGTCCATACTTTGCTAATGGTGAGATACGGGACCTCGCCCACCCTCACCTCCCTACCAGGCACATACAAGTATCACACAGACAACAAGTATAATCTATCATGCAAACCATTCACTGGGCACCCGCCCGACATCGGACCTTGGTCCGAAATATCATACTAGCATACAGTGCCTAGGGCTAACCCCCAGGTCTTCCTACTCATCACTACATGGGCCGACATTGTAGCCGTAGACCTATTCACACAAAGGGAAACTCACCTCGTACTGCTGAAACTGCTGATAACCCTCTGGCTGCTATCCAACAACTCTCCGAACTGCTGCTCCTTTAGCTCCCCGAGCTACCAATACCAAATAATAGTACACTTAGTCTAACTGTCCTCAAGAAGTCAACTAAGTCAACTCTGGTCAAAGTCCTTCTCAAGGTCAAAGTCCTGGTCAAAGTCAACCTTCCAGTTGACTCGACTCGTCGAGTTGTTCTGCCAACTCGCCGAGTCCATGCTCCTCAAATCCCAAAACAACCCCGACTCCACTCGTCGAGTCTAGCGAGAACTCAACGAGTTCTCCTTCATCTAACACTTCGGGACTATTTTCAACCGACTCGCCGAGTTCATCCTTGAACTCGTCGAGTTCATCATCATCGTATGAATATCTAGGCCATGACTCGCCGAGTTGTATGAACAACTCGTCGAGTTCATCTTCCTAACTAAGAAGATTGTCTTGGACTCGCCGAGTTCCTCTTCGAACTCGTCGAGTACTATGATCTTCATGTCCATTACGGACCCAGTTTGGTTGAATCCTTTACTAACTCCACTCACTGATCCGAATCATAAACATAAGGGTTTGGGTTTGCGACCTGACTCGCCGAGTCCACCTTGTGACATCTCTATTCTGTCGATTACAGTCCATTGCAACACCTTCAACCCATAGATCTGGACTTCTAATGCTAGCATTGCACGTAAAGTTGCTAACTTTACGTGCATGCAAGGTATTATGAGGCTAGAACACTTAATCCAAGCTACAAAGAAGGCGTAGGTCATGAAATGAAGCCATGGCTGGGTAAAGCTGCCCCCTCAGAGCTTCTAAAGCTCAGAAATGCTTAGATCTTAAGTCCTTTTCGTCCTCAATGGCTCAATGTTCGGATTGACCTTGGAAATGGTCCAAATGTGACAAAATCTATGCTAGAAAGGGGATCTAGATGATTAACAGTCAAGGTATAAGCTTTTTACCTCTAAATGGTCTGAAATGCTACCCCAACTCTGGATCTATAGCTTCTTCTTGCACCACCAAGGTCCTTCTTCCTTCTCCAAGCTTCAATTCACTCTCAAGGCAAGAACTAGCTCAACAATGGAGTTGGGTGGCTAGGGTTTCGAGTTCTGGACAACAGGGGCCGCAAATGAGCCCTAGGGAAGAGAATAAGATGCTTAAATAGGGTACCAAGTCCCGGAATTAGGGTTTCCAAACCCATACCAGACTCGCCGAGTCGGTTACTTAATCTTTGACACGGAACCCGCTCCGATTCGTCGAGTTCTTCCATAGACTCGACGAGTTGACCCCTTTGACTTAGGGTTTCCTTTCATTTCTTGGTCTTCTGATTTTGGGTATTACACGGTAAAAGAGATTATTTCTAAACGGTTATAACAACCTTAATGGTGTAATACACACAAAAAATACGTTAGGGACCTAATATGGACAAACGGGAAACGTTATTACCCTCCTAAATCATTATCCCCGTATGAAACTGTAAACCCCTATGGTAAATTTTTACTTTTTAAATAAGAAACTTGTAGGTCTTGGGGTTGGTAGTTTGGATGCTTTTGGATCGCATTCCGGTAAGAGCTAAATTGGTGGAAAGGGGGGTGATGATAGATTCCTTATTGTGTCGTGTGTGTCATAATTCTCAAGAAAGTGTGAAGCATTTGTTGTTGTAGTTTTCGGTTGCCGATCAGGTTTGGAGTCGGGCTGGGCATTGGCTTCATTTGGACCTTCATGTGTTTTCATCTATCCGTGATGTGGTGGATTGGGTGGATTCTAGACCGACAGTTCATATGGAACGCCCGATTGTTGAGTTGGTGTTCATGATGATGAGGTTACAAAATCCAATCCAAACCTTTCTACCTTTTATTCTTTTTAATTTCAACAACTTTATATGAAATACACATATAAAAATAAATACTGAAAATCTTAAAAATATACATTCAAAATAATAAATACTAAAAATCTTAGGAGGGTAATAACGTTTCCTGTTTGTCCATTTTAGGTCCCTACGTATTTTTTGTGCGTATTACAAAATTAAGGTTATTATAACCGTTTACAAATAGTCCTTTTAACAGGAAGAAACCGGTAAAATGAATTATTTCTAAACGGTTATAACAACCTTAATGGTGTAATACACACAAAAAAATACGTTAGAGACCTAATATGGACAAACGGGAAACGTTATTACCCTCCTAAGTCATTATCCCTATTTTTTTAATACGACATTATGTAATGTATATTGAGCACTAATATGTAATTTCCTTTCAAATTTCATTCCTCATGCCAAAACAATAAAATGACATTACAAAGTTAATACAATTACATTCAACTAATTAGAATAATGCACTCACATGATTATTATTAAAAACATCAAATAACCAAAACAATAAAACCTGTGAAAACCACATAAAAAAATTAGAACCCTAGTCAGATTCATCAGACTATGACTTATAACTACAGTTGTTTGCTTCAATTGGTTTTGCATACTAGTTCACTAGGATAATGCTCAATCATCTTACTAAAATTTTTCTATATTCATTAAATTTCTCTTTGTACCAACTTCCTAATAGTTCTTCACCATACAACAAATAATACATGCAAACTTGATCTTTAACTAGAAAATATGGGCAACCAAAGCAACATCTATATGAGTTTGTATCACTCCAAAAAATGAAAACTAGCTTGTATACCACTGTCGCATCTACAAAATGGTTGATTTCTTTGGCTGGAAGCATAAGTCCAGGAGCTTGAGCCATATGAACAAGCGTGTATCGTCAATACGTGATCAAGATTAGTTGTCTTTTTTTTTTTTATGAAAAACTTTATCTGAAATTCAAAAATAGTTTTTTGTGTGAGGGAAATATACTTTAATGAAATATAAAGTTAATCCAAAATTCTCATTTTAGATATGATAGTTATTTTTAAAAATATCTCAATTTTTGATTATATATTTTGTAAATTTCTATTGAAATAATAAAGATTATCTATATTAATACAAAAAAAAACAAAATAAGTTCTATTTGTATAATCTTAAAAAAATCATGTCCACATTACATTTGTCAAACAACAACCGGACCTTGTCCAAACCCCGATTTCCATTATCTGGTCCTATTGCGTTCATCCCTTCACCACCACCACCACCACCAAACTCCTCCATATCAAGATCCTTAGACTTAAGATATCTGCCATCACCCGACATCCTCTCATGGCGAACACACCTTTCCTGCTAGAATCCAACTTCAATTTCAATCCTTTACTCCAACAGACCTTCCATTTGCCCCCACTTCGCTTTCCCCCAATCAAATTGTCGTCTGGCTATAATAACGCTTCCAAATTGAACAACTCTTCTTACAAGGTGATCAGAGCTTCCCAAAAATTTAGAATTAAATGCTTCTTCATGAGCCATAAGCGCAAAGGGGAAAAAGATATTAGTGGAAATGGAAGCGGAAAGGATAACGATTTGGAAGCAGTTTCTGTTGGCAGTGGTATAAATGAAGTGTTTTGGAGATCAATTAAGAATGTCCTCAAAGCCTTACAAAAACCCGTTATAACTGGAGTTTTATTGGGTTTGTTATTGTTGTACGATCATCACCATGCGTTGGCTGCTTCCGGTGGGAGAATGGGTGGAAGATCGTTCTCCTCCCTCTTCTTCTTCTTCTTCGTCTTCGTCTAGAAGTTTTAGCACTCGGACCAGAGGCCCGGAGTTGTCATTTTCGGCTCCCTATTATGCTCCGACGCCATTTGGGGGCGGTGGGTTCTTTGTAGGGCCAGCGGTTGGATTTGGGTCAAGCTTTTTCTTCGTCATGATGGGTTTTGCTGCTTTTATTTTGGTGTCTGGCTTCTTATCAGATCGCTCTGATACCGATGATGGAAGTCTGCTTACTGCTACCGAGAAAACAAGTGTTCTCAAGCTTCAGGTATTATGCTCTGTGCCATAATCTCAATTTCAACTTCAAATCTGGTCCTATCTTTATTGATGATTCTGCAATGAGTACTGAATTTGATCTATCTTTATAGCAATTTCTGTAATTAGTAACTGCTAACATTGTATTTTTGAAGGTTGGATTGTTGGGTTTGGGTAGATCACTGCAAAGGGATCTCAATCGGATTGCTGAGACAGCTGATACATCCAAACCCGAGGGGTTGAGCTATGTATTACAAGGTAATGAATGATGTTTACATGATACATACAAACAATGAATCTTGAGTCTTTACTAGTCATATGATCTTGTGATTGAGATGTTTAAACTGATTTGGTTTTGGTTGCAGAGACAACACTAGCTCTACTTCGACATCCTGATTATTGCATCTCTGGTTATTCCTCTGTATGCACTTCACTATCTCATTTTTCTGTTAAGTAGTTCTTTCTGGATTAAGTAAAAAAAGAAACAGACATCATTCATTGAATGTTTGGGTTTTGGTTTATTAATTTGGTTCAGGTGGATGTGAAGAGGAGCATAGATGAAGGTGAGAAACGATTCAATCAACTCTCTATTGAAGAAAGGGGTAAATTTGATGAAGAGACTCTAGTCAACGTCAACAACATCAGAAAGCAAAGTGCAACAACTCAAAGATCTAATGGCTTCCGTAATGAGTATATTGTGGTAAGTAGTTTTGGCTTCTTTCTTTGATTTTCTCTCTTAAGTCAATTCTTTCTGCATTTAGTAAAAAAGAAACAATGATATATAGCTTACCAGATTAAGTCATGTTCATATTAACTGTACATCATTCGTTGACTAAAAAACATGTATTTGGTGGTTGAAGATTACAATCATTGTGGCGGCTAGTGGCGTACATAAACTGCCGCCTATAAACAGTAGTGCACAACTGAAAGAAGCATTGCAAAAGCTAGCGTCTATCCCTTCAAGCAGAGTTATGGTGAGATCTATAATTCTATATGAATATTCTATTCCATAAATCATAATTATGATTTTCTTTGGTTGGATTTGCTAACTATTTTGGTCAATTTACAGGCAGTTGAGGTGCTGTGGACCCCACAAAATGAAAACGATACTCTTACAGAACGAGAATTGCTTGAAGATTATTCGTTGTTGCGTCCTCTGTAGGTTATAAGCTGTCAACAATTTGTACATTTTATATAGGTGATGATGATAACTGTATACGCAAATGTGTGATTCCAAATGTATCAGTTTGAAATGATTTTAACAATTTTTGCAGTGGTATGGTATATTTTATATAGCAAAAAGAAAAATGTATAACCTTTTGTATCAATCTTGTTTGGGACTTGAGTTTTATTCCGTGATAAAGTATTTGTCATAAGAAGGCTGGGTATCAATGAGTGTTTGGATTTGTGTTTTTTTTAGTATCAGAATCAGTAAACAAATAACCATTTGATTGAAGTTAAGGATGGTTAGGTAATTTTTTTTTTCTCAAAATCAACTGTAATTTTAGATATAGAGACTATTGTTGCTTTCCATATTGAACTCGTACATTACTTGCTTATATTTCTAGCTGGTGGGATGGCCCACAGCCCCTCTAAGGGAGGAGGAGTCATTCCCTTCCAACCCACCGAACCCATTGCCACATCAATTTTTCTCTTTTATTTTTCTTCATCTCTCCGAACCCACAACACACGGAAATCCTATCTTTTTGAACCCACTCAACCCACCCAATTAAAAAAAAAATACAAAACAACTAAGGTATAAGTTTTAAAACACATGATACAAGAGAAAATAAGAAAGAGAAAGTAGAGAGAGATGATGAAGTGGGTTAGTGAAACCAATCAACTCACTTGTTGAAGCGGGAGTGGTACCGCTGATAACTCTATTGTTAATTAAGATTTTACATTTGATTGTTTTGTATTTTTTTTTAATTGAGTGGGTTCAAAAAGATAGGATTTCCGTGTGTTGTGGGTTCGGAAAAATGAAGAAAAATAAAAGAGAAAAAATGATATGACAGTGGGTTCAGTGGGTTGGGAGGGAATGACTCCCTCCTCCCTAAGTTGTGGTGGGTTTATTAATCTTTGACACTATTTCTATAATGACCTCTTATATAATGACTATTTTGGTAATTTCTTTCAAACATGAGGACCATGGCTATAAATTCCCTTTAGGTAAGAACTATTTCTATAATTTTGTGAAATGTATGGACCATTTCTTTTATTTTGCAATTAGGTAGTGACTATTTCTGTAATTTTATGGAACACATGAGACATATTTGTAGCTTTGCTATTTGGTAGGGCTTATTTTTTGTAATCTTGTTAAACGTAGGGACCATTTCTGTATTTTTATGGAATAGAGACAATTATATAAATTCACTATGGGCGTGTTCGGCACGGAGTTTTTGGGAGCGTTTGAGAGCTTTTAGCTTCTAGCGTTTGACAAAACGCTCCGTTTTGAACAGAAAACCTTGTTTGGCACTACAAGCTTCTAGCGTTTAGTTTAAACAAAACGCTCCAAATCCAAATGCTACTTCATGTAACGTTTAACAAAACTCTACAAGCTACAAGCTACCCGCCACCCGCTAGAAGCTACCCGCTACCAGCTAATTTTGCCGAACACGCCCTATTATACTAGACCATTTCTATAAATTTGTAAATTTGTGAATGACCCGGGCCCTTTTTGTATATTTTCTATTAGGCAAGTACTATTTATGTAAATTTTTGAAACGTAGGACATTTTTAGAAATTTTATATTAAGCATGGAATCTTTTTTGTAAACTTACATATTAAACGTGGACCATTTTTATAATATTACACACTCTTCTAAGTAGGTCTGACAATGGTGTCGTGTTCTGGTTGGCGGGTCAAAATACACAACCCGAACATGACCCATTTAACTATAGAAGTCATGGGTTGGCGGGTTTGGAACATAAACTCATATACGACCCATCAACCTGTTTATTTATATGGGTTCACGGGTTGGTGGGTCAGATTCGGATTGGTGGATCAGATTCGGGTTCGTGTTCATAGGTCAGATTCCATAAATAAAATTAATAATTAAACATGAATATTTCAGAAATTTAAAAAATATACAAACATATCTGAATTTTAGAAAATTTAAGTCTTAAACACCTAAATAAAAATTAAAAACATTCATGCAAATATGTTAAAGCTAAAACATTAATACAAACATAGATCAATTCAAATGCTAATGTAATAGTATAGTCACGGGTTAATAACCATAAGGAAGACAATGGATCCTACTTAATAGAATAATACTTAATACATTTAAAAAATGCAAAACGAGTTGGCGGGTCAACTTGTATGTTTTTTTGACAAACTCATATATGACTCGTTTAATAAACGGGATGACGGGTTGAAAAAACTCAACCCAAACCCGTTTATCTTCATGGCTGGTCAGGGATCCTATCGAGATTTGTCAAGTCTACTTCAAAGTCCTAAATATGTTTGTAAAATAAATAATTATATATGACAGAGAAATCTACAGAAAAATCTTAAATTTTTGGAAATTTTAATGATTAAGTCCCAAATTTTTTTATGGAATTTAGGGGAATATAGGAGGGGAGGGAATCAAATCCATGAACTCCCACTTAGAACTTATGCCTCTTGCCATTAGACTACACCAATTTTGTTGTCAATTTTTGAAACATTGTATATAATATCTAAAACTGAAAGCTTAAATATAATAATAATAATTATTATTATTATTATTATTATTATTATTATTATTATTATATTCTTGTATGTTTTAACAACCAAAACTTTGAATTATTTTTAGAAAAAACAACTTTATGATCATCCTTTTCAAAACTATTAAAAAAAGTTCTAAACCTCCAAAGTGATTTTGATATTTATGGTCGGATTCATTTTCTTTTTAAATTGCTTACATTGTGTAATGTGGTATGATCACCTATTACAAAAACATTTTTTGTTTTTTTTTTCTAAATTTCAAAATAATGTAGATATTCTTCGTCAGTCATAAAAGGTTTGTGTTAAATTCTTTAGAATTCTAATAAGACTAAACGGTGTCATACCACCGGTAGTATTTGTCACTTAGGTTGATAGAGACATTTTCATTATTCAATACGCGAGTCAAAGTTCGCGTAAATCCGTTAAGGCTCTAGTGAGACACTATCTTCACTATCCTACCTAGTGTACATTCTAAGTCCTGCATTATAACAAGAGTCTCCTGGAGGGAGAGCGGGATAGTTGTGTATAGATCTATACGGGGATTGACACCCCCCCCACACCTGAGTTGTTCGCTACAGCTAGACGAGGCCAGTCTAGGGTGACAAATATCTTACCGATTCCGACGCCTGAAGAACGTCGTAACAGGCATAACAGTCACATCAAGCATGGTTATAATAACTATTAAAACATTTTCCTGGTTTTCCTCCCGGTACACTATTGGTTTCCACTACTGGTCTAGGGTTTAAGACCACAGTTTTTCATACAACAGAAAATATAGGATTTTCTGGGAACTTGCAATTACAAACAAAAGAAAACAAAGGACATGCATGCATATATTCACAGTTTTGGAACAAGACGTACAAACCATTTTCATAGGAAATATCGGATTTTATGGAATCATACAAATCATTTCAAATACAGATGTTACAAACTGTTTTCATATAAAATGCTTATGAAATCACCAACATTCTATGTTGACGCTTTTCAAAATGACTTGTATTCTCAGGAAACAAGTAAGCAGATACTTGGACAATGGGAATTGGATATTTTTGCTGCATTATGGGATTTACATTTCTGTCACTTTTGTGTAAGTTGTGAACAAATACAATATGTAAACAATGTAAGTTTGTTATCTCAATGTATGTCGTTTGGTTGCTATGTTTCATTCATATTCAATTGTTATGATACTATACAATGACGTCATCCGCCCCCGGACGTTTCCGCCATCCTGGTTCGGGGGTGTGACAGATTGGTATTAGAGTATTGTTTATAGTGAACTAGTATATCTAACCATACAAGATATACACCTATAAATACAATGGGACTAAAACACTCTGACTAAAAGTATACTTTAAAAATATAAGTATTTTATAAAGTGTACAAACATACATGCATATTAGATAATAATATATAATAAGAAGTATTTAGAAGAGTTGGACATCGCGATTAAACTTAGACAGTTATGTAAATATAGCCTGAGCAACTATATTTATTTGAGATATGACCAACATGTGTTTAGGAGTGGTCGAGGTGGACAATGAATCTAAAACTTACCAACCTTATACCAAAAAGCTTTAGGGAAACCAAACATAAAGAATTAAAATACTATAGGAGTATGTTAGCGCATTATGAGCCTTTCATGTACTTCTTATACTTATATTCTCGTACAGACTGATGGCAGGATTTCATCTCCCTGTAGAACCCTACTTCCCCAACCAGGGGAACGGGGGATGGATAGAGGAGTATCCGGAAGAGGTCATGGAGGAGTTCGAGGAAGAGGAGATCGATGAGGAGGTCGACGAGGATGAGGAGGAGGAGGATGATTCGGACGCAGAGTCCGAAGTCATCGACCCTCCCTACATGGCTAGGGCACCAACACACCGATGGGGCTATAATGACCCTACCCCCTAGGCCTATGACATTGAGAGGTGGAGCCGGCACCAGGGGCAACATCCACCCTTCGGGATGGAGCGAGGATTTTACAACCTTCTCCATGGAGGACCTGTGGACTGAGCCCTTCCCGTTATGGTCCGGAGGATCTCAGACATTGGAGACCAGGCTCAGGTGACAGCCAACTAGGTGATAAAGATGAGAGTTGCTGCAGCAGTCACGGACGCACACACTCAAGACCTCGAGAGGGATTACTACCCTATGGATCGGCTCGTCGAGGACCTTACCACCGCGCGAGCGGAGGTAAGGGAATACCAGGTGAGGCATGTTGCCCTTGAGGAGAGGGTTCAGGTAGCTGAGCGCCAACTAGCAGAGCTGCATGGTGCCTCTACTTCATCCCAGGCACCGCAGGGGACGACTCGACGTGAGTAGGATCTATCCTACTCACTAGCTGATAGGCTAGATGTTTGGGTATGCGTTAGTGCTACCCCTTTTCTTTTTATTTTGTATGTAGGATCGAATCTAAGTGATTACACTATTAAGAGGGTTGTTATGCTATCGGATTATTATCATGATGTATTGTAGACCCTATAAAGGTCAATTTTCCCAAAAAGTTATGTACTATTACTTTATCATTAATGAAGCAAGCATGTGTTTATTTATGGATGTTGTTATCTGCTATGTCTTATCTATTCATTT